GTCGACAGTAATCTGCTTAAATCACACGTAATTAAAATATCTTATGTGAAAGACCTCATAAATAGTTTTGTGTCTTTTGAAAGAGTTCGTCCAAAGTACATATCATACTAAATAGAGTGATTTCAGACAGAAATGAAGTATATCATGTTTATTAATTTTACGCTACACTAAACTAGGTTTCTGGACCACCTGGTTAGTCATTGACAGAAAATGTCATTAAGATGATTATATAAGTGTTTGGAGGGTTGTGATAAAGAAGTATCAATCAAATGAGGATCTGATTCTTCTAGTGAAAAATGCAAGCTATGTAGTACATCTTAGTGCACGAATATCCTTGTGAAATTTTGTGATAAAAGATCCGTTTATGCTGATTGTATGATGCGAACATTGCGTGAAGTTGATCATAAATTTATGTGCCGTAAATTGCATAAATTTCCAATAATTTAGTGTCAGCATGAATTTATGCTAAACATTAACCTAATTAAAGACACACGTAGTAATTCATGGTATACCTTTCACTCACATTCACGGGACAATGTGCTTTAGTCATACAACAGTCAAATCACACTTACCTATTAAAGAAAACTAAGCAGTTCGATATCTAAATGACCACATGTACTATGTTCGCATATGTATGTGAAACGTTATTCCTGAAATGAGTGTTGAGAATTTAATTTGTGTTATTTTCTTTTCAGTTACCGGGTGGAATTTCATATTACACACAATAGTATAAAGAACTATCGACCGTTTACTATGTGGTTGTATAAAATTTTTGTTCTGCAAAAAATAAACTAATAAATAGCGGATACCTGTGAAGTTGGGAACAAGAAGCGAGTAGCAGTTTTCTTTTACAAAATTTAAATTCACTACCTGATACACAGACTGATAGGTAACCATTCCAAACGTGGAAGAAGCATATGATGATCAAGTAAGTTACATAGCCTTTCACATTTCCAAGAATCTAGTTATTACCGTGAAGGTGTATATTTATTTGAGTCCACTTTTATGCATATCTATCGAATCCTTATTATCCTTTTCATTCTGAAGACGATGACAGACGCTGAGGGTCATTTCAGTAAAACGAAATTTGAACCAGCCACTGTTGGCCGAAATTTTACTTGCAGTACTTTGTAGCATGTTATTGAACGTGAAGACAAATAACTTCAACAGACAAATGATTATATTTGGTTTCTATCATAATATCCTCGAAAGTGAAAAATTGGACTAAAGCCTTTGTCATATCGTGAATGAAGTCAAGATATCGTTGTACATTTTAATGGATTTCACATGGGAACCTATTTGAAAACCGTTTTTCTTGAAGAAGTAGAAGAATAAATAAGTGGAAAAACAAGGCAACATTGCACGGCTTTCAAGTTCACACTATTATTGTAAGAAGAAACCAGTAATGATTTTATAGAAATTTATCATTTTGGTCAGTTTAATTTATCGTGTCATAAAATGTTTAGTCGTGGTATCACTGCTCACATTAAATTTCATGGTGTCAATTAAGTGCTTGAATACAGCAAGAGAATGGTGCATTTCAACCTTATCTGTTTATGCAAGTTGTACATTTTTGTTCTTACTTTTGGATAAAATTTATTCTGTTAGACTCATTTTTTTATAAGGGACAATTTCAGATGGCGTGAAGAGTTTCAATAATCATGGCGAAAATAAGTAAATAATAATTGAGAGGACTCATTCTTCAACTTATGATACGTATGCCACTAACTTCTCGCTTCTTTCAAGAACTATCTAAGTTGTTCAGAAAACCTGTCTTTCCAAACAGACCTCATTTAGCTGTATACATTACCAAATAGAATAACTAAATTTTCTTTAACTTAGAAGCTATACACCACAAATAGGACTACAAATAAAAGCAATTGACTGCTACGTAATTTTCTGAACTAAGGAAGATGATCGCTGTTTGGACGTTCTATTCAGAATAATAATCAGAACAAAAAGGTTACCAATATCTCGAAAAACAGAAAGTTGGTAGACTTGGAAAACAGTAAAAAGTAGCTTAGCATATGGGATTGTGTTAGGGTTCCCCAATTAACCAGCGTATTAAATTTCAATATTACTTCAACTTGGCTGAACGTGCTTCATAGACTTTATACCATTGAGTCTCTTTTGAACTTATATACACGTACACGTGAAATTTACAAAACGTGTTTTTGTGGCATTGTTAAAATATGCTATCCATACTAACGGAAATTACTGAAACATTCATTCCTTCTGATCAAAAGACATAGGCAAGTTGGTGATGCATCTAAATACGCATCTGCACTTTATGGAATTTTAAGATGCGTTCTGCTTGAGGAGAGTTACGTAAAACAGTTCTAGAGACCTAACGCACTTATGTTTATAGCGTGTTCAACTGTTTGGAAAAGACGATAACTATACCTGCTATAGGGAATCTTTTTCTCGGTTGTAAAGTACCACATTTGAATAAGTAACTGACTCAGCGTTTCTTTCTACCAGAAACAATTCTAGTAATTACTAGGTGTTCACGATGCATCACTTGATATGGCGTTTTTAATAGTCTATTTTGAATAAGATAATAAGCAGGATTTTTACAGTAATTAGCCTAGTACAATTTCCCCAATACACTGACGATAATCACTTGACATAACTGACGTTCCGTAAATAATTCTTTGTAACTGCTCACGATTTTCGTATGTACTTAGTTACAAACTGTCCTTTCTAAATCAAGTCCACATCTTTCGTTTTTTTATTGGATTAGCATTGATCTATTTCTGTAAATATGCTTGTAGGAAAGGTATGCTGACAAATGCAGCATTGAATTTGATATAATTTTGACCGAATTTGGGAAGTGATGCATTTAGGGGACTTTGACGCTTATGTCTTGAATTTTCTGAGAGTTTGCTTTCGTACTGACCAGTCGACTGAACAATATCTTTCGTCATAAGCTTTATTCCATGAGTGAATTAAGTGTGAATTGTTATTCTCTATTAAAATATACACACTATTTTTTGAATCTGACCATCAAACAGCTATCATATTTGCGAATCTCTTGAGCTCATACAATAAACTAATTACCTTGATGGAAAGTCCTGAATTTACGTTTACTCCATAAGATGATACTGACTCTAAGTTATATGACCTACTTATTAGAATCACAATATCTGTTTAACAAAGTTGCTAACAGAAGTTGGACAAGCAAACAGCCTTCTATAAGGTCATGATTGAAGATGCTTTATAAATAATGAGTAGTATGAATAGTAAGGCTAACGATTTGAAATAAAAGGAAGACGTTTTTAACGCTTACCGTCAAACTGTCGAATATTGGCTATGGAATCATCTGAAAGTGTACGAGTTATACATTTATTTGACAGATGTGATTTGTGCACAAAATCTGGATGAAATGATTGTATTTCACTCTGAAAGAAATGAAGAAGAAGCTCACATTACCGCCCAGAATTTCTTAAAGAGGACAATCTTGTGCAAATTTCAAGACAAATGTATTCCTAAACTATCTGTATTCAAACTAGATATCAGGCTTATTTATTATTTGTTCTTTGGGTTCCAAATGGAACATAGAGCTTCAGCAGCACGTCATCATTTCACTCTGCAATTCTCTGTTGGCTTTAGAACCTGGATCCAATACCGCCTACAAGCTCTCAATTCCTCCACACACGATCTCCTCTATGTTGCCTTCACACGCCCAACTCGTCATTTCCCCTTTGGGTTCAACTCGTTGGCCTGATCTGGTGATGTCCTCAAATGGTCTTCTTAGTGTACGCCCAGTCCATCTCCACTTTCTTCTATATATTTATTTGGCTATGGGTTCTTGGTTGGTTCTTTGCCAGCCAGCCAGAATTCCTTCTTGCTTATTGTTTCTGGCCATCTGATCTTCACTATCGAACCAGCTGTTGATGAATGTTTGCAGTTTGTTGGAAATGCTTTTCGTAACGCACCAAGTTTCTGAAACATACAGAAGCACTGACTTGACATTAATATTGAAAACCTGAACTTTGTTCCTTGTGCTGAGTGGAGTACAGTAGATCATCACACTGATTGCAGATAATTGAAGGCTTATCTTGTTGTCTTTCCGATCCTGGATATGATGTCCTCATCTGTGCCACCGCCTATAGTTGCAACGATGCTGTCCAGGTAAGTGGGTAGGTGAACGAGACAACTTCCTTTAGATTTATCCTGTTGATAGTGATTAGTGCTTCTTGTTGTTGGTTGGGCATCTTCATCACTTCTGTCTTCTCTACGCTCACCTGAAGGAAGTCCCGTCTTCCTTGGCTGCCCTGCCTCTTCTGCCAACTTGTTGGTTTCCACCTGTAGATCTTCGAGTTTATGCTACAAGACACTAGACATTAATCGTCATCGGCGAAATCCGAACTTTCATCTGGAGTCTTTTCATCGGTCCAGCTAGTTTCTGCCACTCTTCTCGCTCTTCACAGTAGGCTGTTGCATAATCTAGTACAGTCCAGTAGACCATATTCAGAGAGAACGATCGCAGCCTTGTCTTACTCTTGTCTCCACTTCAAAGGCATCATTACTCAGCTTTCTCTTGTAAATCATTCGGCGTGTGGTATTGTTATGCAGCTACTGAATGAGGCTAATAAAGGTTTGTGCTATTCCTTAGTGTTAGAGCAGCTGCCTTCCAAATTACTTCTCGACTGACCCTATCTAAGGCCTTTACAAATTCGATGAATTTGAGGTAAAGATCCAGTTGACTACCATTCTATTCTATGTTCTATGATGATGCGTAGCGTAGCGTTGTAATTTGATCGGCATATGATTTGTTCTTCCTGAGGCCAGCCAGCCATCAAACTGTTTCGGTTGCAATTTTGAGTCCAGCCCATCCTTTAGTCTCTCCAGGATGACGCGGCTTAATATTTCGGTTGGAGTGGACAGCAGCATGATTCCGTGCCGGTTTCGCAAAGCCTTATGTCTCCCCTCTTTGGAGGTTAACAAGGCAGCCCTTCTTCCAATCAATAGACAGGTACCTTTCCTTCCTCCCAAACCTTCTGCAATAGTGGTGTGAGCATGTCCACTGTTGTCTCTGCGTCTGTTTCCAGTGATTCTGGCCGGATTCTATCTGGTCCTGCTGCATTCGCGGCTCTCAGTAACTTCATCTGGTTCACGACTTCATTTCTGCTGTTGTCGGAGGGCTTGCCTTCATTGACAGTTTTGTGGGTGGGCTGCTGGTGGTATTTCTGAACGAGTTGCAGGTGGTGGGCGATTCAGGAGCTTTCTGAAGTGGTGAGCCCATCGTTTCCTTTGTTTTTCCTTTCTCTTTGGTAACTAGCTTTCCTTCACTATCTTCCATTGGTTTCATTTGTGTTGATCTCTTCCCAGATAGTATTTTCTCTATTTGATATGTTTTCAGGTCTCTATCTTTCTTATCTGCAGCCTGTTCTACTTCACTTGCCAGTGTGTAGTGGAAGTGTCTTTCGTCTTTCCGTGCACTCTTCTTCACTTCTTTGTTCAACGTTTTATACGTTATTCCCAGTTCCTCTTCTCGTTGTTCATCCTTGCACTACACTGGTCCATCTTCTGCTTCACCATCTTCCTCTCCCTCCTCCATCAACTTCCATGTGTCCGTTGAGATCCATTCCTTATCTCACCTCTTCTTCTTCCTTCCTAACACCGTTATGCAGCTTTCTTTCCACATAGCTTTCAAAGAGTTCCAGTGCTCATCCACACAGGTTTGTTCAGGAATCTTGCTCGATATCTCCCATTTCGTCTTGATGGCTGATGTGAAGATGTAGTTTGCAGTTTCGTCCTTCAGCTTCCATTCTAAGTGATGAACTTGAAATGTGTTCTATCACCAACTTCCTTGAAGGCTTTCAACTTGATTTTGAGGGTTACTTGCACCGGATAGTGGTGTGAACCTATATCTGCTCCCCTTGTTGTTCTGATCTTGTGTCCAGTAGGCTACATCTCCACTTTCTTCACATTGAGATGAACTCGATCCGATTTTTAGTGTGTCCCGGTGTCTGGTGAAATCCATGTCGCTTTGTGAATATCCTTGTGCTTGTAAACACTACCTCCAATCTCCAAATCGTTGAAGTCGCAGGAATCTGTAAATAGTTCTCTGCTCTCATTTGTCTCACCGAGTGCTTTTCGACACAATGCGTACTCTTCCTGTGTTGTCTGCCCCCAGTTTCGGATTCATGTTACCCATAAGAATTTTGATGTGTCCATCTGGGGTGGGGTCTTGTCCAGTGCTGATTGCAGTTGTCTGAAGAATTTCTCCTTCTTCTTTTCATCTGCATTATTTGTAGGCGCTTAGCGTAGCGTAATGTAACATTGTATGATTGTGACCTCCCTTCATTTTGAGTTGAATTCACCTTGCTTTCATGATCCAGATCCCGCAGAACGAGATTGGTTCCCACCGCATGAGACAGACTTCGATGCTCCTGGAGACATCATGATAGCCACTCCAAAACTCAGTGTGCTCGTAGTTGTCATCTGGGTGACAATTTCGGAGTAGATTATTTACTTTGCTCTCCAGTTGACAGTTTGGAGAATCCACTTCCATTTGATCTGCTTTCGCAGATTCTTAGCACTTCTATCCTATATCTTCCCATTTATTTTTCCATATCTACCGCCTTGCTAGCTTCGAAAATCGTGCTCACAATCCTTCTCCCTATGCTTACCTATTCTTAAGGTTTCGTTTAGCAGTACGTCTAGCAATGTTATGGATCTCATTTGGCTAAATCTCGAATTATTCACCGGTCAGAGTCTCCTGCTACTTTCACTTGTTTGGCCACATAAAAGTAATGCCTGACTACGATTGTCTCCGTGGAATTTACTTTACTATGAAAGGTGTTTACTTTCCAGTAACACTCCGCACTACACATCAACAAACAAAATATTTGCAAAGCCACAGAATATTGATTGAATGAGTTTCCAATGCATCAAACTGAAATTCACTAAAAATTTGTTCTCCCAAAGTTACACTAAACGATATTTTAGAAGGACATTCAGATAGTGTAACTACATACCCATAATAAATTGGTTAATACTTTACTACATTTCAGAAATTTCATTGAAATTATAAATTCCATATTTTCTTTTCTTTTCCAGGTAGCTAAGTTTTGAAATTATACTTATATTTACATGTGAGCGAAAGGATGATAGTTCGGCAATTTCATTTGTAAGCGGTAAGACCTTCAATACTGCTGGTCAGTCTGGACAACAATTCTGTTACTAAAAATAAACAGTCATAGGTAAGCTGAGAATAGTCTCTAATAGGATTGAAGGTTTCATGCTGCACTTTACAGCATCGAAGTATTAAAATCAATGCAATCAAAACACAATGATTGGCAACAGAAGAATAAACATATGTCTAGGTAGTTATCGACGCTAAATAAAATTGATTATGAAAGTCTGAGACAATCAGAAGTCAATTTGCAATGAATAATTACGTAATTGTAAGGACCACCCAACATAGTGTTAATAGCTGAGGAAAACGTAGATATTATTTCAGTGCAAATCAACGTTTCAGAGTAAAGAAACTGAAGTGTGATGAATCTAACTAATTTACACTTATTGAAAAAGTGGCCTTCTGTTTATTTAGTAAAAGAGAAACCAAAAGATAAACAATCCTTCATAGTCTGCATAGTCTTCTAGACACTCATGAACTAGCTAAATTACTCAAACTTCTTGATTTCGTTAACAGATTAGAACTTATATCACAGAAATGGCATTGTAAAGTTGAAACTAAGTTTTTTCGCAATTTAATTTCTAACCACTTGTGAAGAGATTTAAAGCAAACCTTACATACAAGGGCCTCACTGCTCTAATTGATAATTTGGTTCAGGAACATGCAAACGGTTATTCAAAAGCATTATAATTTATTAAACAAACATTACAAAATACCCTTCGGATCCGTCAGTTTTCATAAAGACGCACATGAAAGAGTGGATAACACTAAGTTTAGAAGTATTTTCTCTTTGCTTCAGTACTATTAATTGACCACAGTGACACTTTCAATTCAGTCAGACAAAATAGACAGAATCATGGGTGAGCAGTCCTGCTGTCCAGTGCTCTCAGGTCTTCAATGGTTTTTAAACTGATATCAGTCCATGATGAATATCAACTTGAAATAAGTAAATCAGAACAAACCACCAAACTAAAGCAAACAGATTTTAGTGACAAATCGATGAATAATTGGTTTACATTAATTTTACCTGTATCATTTTCATCTATAGTTTCATAACCTTGGAGTTTACATAACTCTGATGGATGATACATAAGTACACTGGGCTGCATACGACTGCAAACGAGCTGGTTGATATTTTGAATTTATCTTAACTTGAAGGAAAAAACTTATGTTGTCAGCAAGCTTGGTGTCAGTTGTAACCTTTTTACCCTAACAAATTTTGTCACTCACAAGAAGGAAACCGTGTAACTAATTATGCACACTTAGAAACGTTCCAATATTATTTAATACAACCCTAAAGATAATTTTCAAAAAGCAAGAATTTCATTTATTTGTTTTGTATAGCATATTGCATTATTTTAACTGTAGACATTACCCATTTGAAATGTGCCTTGTCATCATTACGAGTCCACGTTTGACCACCAACAATTGATGGAACGCAGTCTGAAAACCAAATGAGATAATAGACACGTAGTTACATACATAACAGATGGGAATACTGTTTATTACAACACCATTAATTTTCATACAATACAGATAAGGATTTAATAATGAATGATGAATCGGAATGCGTTTTCAAATAGAACAACAGGATAGAAATCAATCAACAGCTTCTTATGTACCAGTGAAGTTGATATGCTCTCAAATTTTTTTAACCTTATTCAGTAATATCGAAAAAATAACAATCAATGTATATACATGTCGCCCCTAACACACGAGACAGAGGGGACTCAACACAACTGTCAACCATGTGAAACATTGTTTTGAACAAACAGAGTAACAAGCTATGACGAATGACTATATATGAGACATATATTGGCAGATATGTGAATAAATATTATCAAAAATTTACAACTGTTGGTGTGATCATGGGCGACAATTTTGCTGGGAATATTACCAAAATAAAAGCATCATTATGTTTAAACCTCTCACTAAAAATGTACTTATAATATAGTAAGTAGGCACCTAATAAATTTCTGAAAGGACAAAATAGTTGACAAAAGCCCGTGATAACGACGAAATAAACACTTGTGAAACCTATAGAAGGACGTGTCTTCTGAAGAAATTCATCCTGTGAGCAAGTCATTATGAAACACTGGCTGTGACATGAAAAGCATTTCCCAAATAACTAGCTTACTGGATGCATTTCAGTATGCTGCTATGGTTGCTTCATACTAACATAAGCTGATCATTTACCTAACGCAATGTGGTCGTATCAGTGATTGATACGGTGTTGTCATTCACCTTAGTATTCAAGACTGAAAAGGAGTTGTACGTCATTTTTCGCAGAAAATGTTTGTCCAGGTTGTCTAGGACTAAATCAGTATGGTAGGCTGTGCTAATATGGTTTCAATATTTCCATTATATTTTGTTTCTTGTGTTCCTAGCCATTTAATGTTTTCATATGTAAATAATCTCACACTCGCAAATGCATTTTCATTTTTCTTCTACATAACTTAGTATTATCTGTCTACTCTCTTGAATGCACTACTGAAATAAGAGGAACACGATACCTGTCTTGACACAAACACAAGCAATCTTCATCACCTGTACAACAATTTAGTGTTTTTCTAGGCTGTAAAAATCATTTATACTAACCACATGTACAATAAAACTAACAGTCACAAAGCTTTTTGAACGAATCTAGGTATGGTCAAACTTGTGTTTACCAAAAAGGTGAAAAGATTACTGTTTGTTTGCATGCTAGTCTACCCATTCAGTTAGCTACGTGACACCGGAAAACATATCATGAATACCTAAAGTTTTGTGAATGCTTACTTGAATTGAATTTACAGTTTTGTTAGTCGGATGTGGGCAGTTTGCAAAAAGCCCTAGACTTGGGTTTCGTGCTTCTTGGCACTCATCAAGAAGGTGTATCTGCAACTCTGATGGAATTGGTGTTCTGCCTGAGGTTCGAACCCGCGTCACCTAGTGTTATAGTTAGCAAGGCTACCAATGAGCTATTCTGGCTGCAACTGACCTCCTGTAGGACCGGATTAGATACATTGGTTGGTCACTAGAGAGTAACCAACTTCATGTTCTCTAGTCCTAAGTGCTGACCGAATACTATTGATCATTTTCCAATTTGGCCATGAGACTAGGCAGCTCAGTATCGTGATGCACTTTGAAAGATGCTAGTTGGATGATGGTAATCAGCAGTGGCCGAAAAGCCCAGTGATAACGTCGCTGACTACAGCACTGTGTGACACGGGTGCGAATCTGAGGCGGAACATCAATTCCGTCGAGGTTAAAAATATGCCAACAAGCAGGAAACCAAGGTCCAGGGCTTCCTGCCGATTGCCTTGATCCAACCAACATTTATCGGAGTGCACCGTGATATGCATTGCTGCCTAGTCTGGTGACCCTTTTGTAAAACGATAAGATCCGCCAGCACTTAGGACCAGACAACATGAAGTTGGTTACTTCCCAGTGACCATACAATGAATTTACAATTTTACTTGAAGAAGGGAATGATTATCTATGGATTAAGCAATGAAATTATATACTGGCTGATTGCAGGATGGACGGTCGGTGAAATGAATAGATTCAAGGTGTCTTGTGAACAATAAGCAAAGTGAAATGACACTGTAATCCAACCTGTATCACTGTTGCATCATTAGTGTTCATAAAGCTTTAATGATATGTGACTGCACCTCATTAGTAATAAAGACCTTTTTGTTCGTATAAAAAATTTGTCATTGAAATTGTTTAGAGTTCGCTTGATTGGCAAGATGTATATGCTTGAACCAAGTAGAAATTTGCGTTGGATTCTAACTACCAAAGATAAGACGACTGTCTTCATCACAAGCTATGACGAGACTAGGAGTATTTTCGTTGAGAGTCTTCACTTATGTGACATGGTGTTTGAATGCTTCATTCATTATCGCATACTGGTACAAGTATTATTGGTTGGTAAATTCAAACGACACCTTATCAACGAAAATGTTTTCTGCTTGACATTGGGTAGCAATAAGTAATTACATGGTACTAAGCGTTTGGTGAATGCGGATCTAGAGTATTAAAAACAATGTCAGTTAGACCTCTCTATCTTTCACATGAAAATGTTTTTCGTTAGAAACCAGAATGTTTGAGAACTGGAATTAGTCATTAGTACTATATCTGAATTCCGCATCTCAGGAATTATTTTGCTCAGTTTACCTTGTGGTTGTGATTGACTGACCAAATTCCTTAGATGTTTGGTTGTCAGGATCTACTACTTTTCTTAAATTTACTTAGGTTATACGTTTCTCTGACTACATTTGAACCAATGACAACAATTTCTCTTCTAAGTAGCAAATGAGTGGCCATCAAGTTAGAGAGCATCTTTAACTGGTTAGGCATTTTTTTCAAAGTATAGTGTATTTCTTTCCATCCACTTCATTTTTAAGCGGATGCGTTGACAGCAATTTGAAAACAGCCTTCCTGACCATTAACCGTTCATATCGGTTCACGTTCATACACGCAATAGTTTTCAAATAAATAGGCATGTGTCGCATAGATGCCAAAACATTAAGAGTGAGAGATGTTTTTAATTTCAGCTAAAAGATGATAGCACATAGGGCTGATTTACAGAGAAACTGTGAGAGAGTTGACCTTTGTTGTGAAGTATTAACTTATCTTAACTGAATCACAATGTATTCAAAAAGTCGAAGAAAGATTTTTTAAAATTTTTTCCTTGTGTGAACAACAACTTTTTCCGCTGAATATTCCACGTAATTTAGGATGGTTTGGTGGAGCGAATGACTGTTTTCAAGCATAGTGAGTTGTTATGTGACTTTATTTTGACTACTGAAGCTAAAGTGAGGTTTGTTAAGGGCTGAGTATAAGCAACTGCATTATTCTGCTGATATCTTAGTGTTATCAGACTTATTTTCCTGACAAAGATTAAAATGGAAGGTAAAACACAAGATTTTCAATTCGGATATATTCAAAAATATTGGTCAAATTTATTTCCAAATCAACAGCTCTTACCTGGTAAACAAGTCTTCAAAGAAACCTCAGCTGGTGTATTTCTAGCTCTCATTATTCCTTTTTCTGAAATCTCTCGATTTTTGGGATCAAATTCACCATAATTATTAACAATGAAGTCATTATGTACATTGTTAGGATTATTTGTATTATTCACATTATTGTTTGTACTGTTAGTGCTGTGTTCCAGAATTTGTATGGACTTCTTTAAATTTTCAATACGCTCCAGTTTTGATGATCTTCTCTTGGATTGATTACTGCTATGCTTATGTATGCATAAACACCACTGATTTTGTTTTGAACTGTTTTGGGTTACACAATTGTTACTGTCTTTATTCATACCATTCTGTGTCTTACTATACTTAGGTGAATAGGTTGTGTTCACAAATATTTGTTTGTTCGAAGATAATGTTTTGCTTGAATGTTTACGACAGCGAAATATACCAAACAGTACCAGAAATATGATCAACAATAGGAGAAAAGCTCCAATTATTAAAGGGATTATTAGTTTATCTATTGATATACGATGATCTGATAAGAATGCAGTTGCAGTGCTAAACACTCCTCTATCCATTAATTCATTTGCGGATGCGCTAAGTGCTTTCAATTGAGCTTCGGATGTCCATACAAGCTTCACTGTACGTGAATTATTCAATGAATATGGACTACCTAAATCACGAGCAATGACAGTTAGACTTAAACTGAATGAGTGTAGCTCATGAGCACGATTTGTAACAGAATTTTCAGAAGAAATTAAATTAGTGTCATAGAGATGAACCGAAGCTTTTCCACTTATTGGGAATTGATTTGAAGTGAGTAATTTGTTCATTAAAGAATGGTGAACTGTTTCTCGAAAGTAACAGACGCCGGTTGTTGCATCAATTTCAACTAATCCATAACCATTGTTATCTAAAGAATATCTGACCACAGAATTATCACCAATATCAGGATCATGAGCTTTAGCAGTGAATAACGTTGTTCCGGCAGTTGCCATTGAAGAACCAGGCTCTATGTGAAATTCTTGACCATTCAATGGAGTCTCAAATATCGGTGGATTATCATTTACATCTAAAACTGTGATAATAACTGTAGCAGTTGCTGTGTATTGATGCCTCCATTTATTGCTTAATTTTGGGCCATCGAGTAGATTTTTTGATGCCAGTGAAGTATCGTCAACTGCGAAAGCTCGAAATTCATAGTGAGCACGTACTTCGCGATCTAGATGTTGATTGAGACGTATTTCGCCATTCCGTGAATTTACTGAAAATATCTTACCGTCACCTTCGTTTTCCAAGTGGTACATTATAGATGAGATTCCAGTTAGTGGATTAAAGCTGGGTTTTTGTAACATTGAGGGGTTCTGTCTTTCTATGATTTGTCCGATCATTTCACTTTCAGCCAGACCATCAGTATCTACCGCCCTTATTGTTCCAACTATGTTGCCAATAGGAGCATCCTCATTTAGTGAGAAGTAATAAACACCATCTTCAGGTCCACCACGACGAATATCATTCACTTTATCACCAATAGTTGACATTATCCAATAAGGGGGATTGTCATTTACGTCAAGCACATCAACTCTAATTAAGGTGGTACCACTTAAACTTGTTTCTCCATGGTCACTTGCTTCAGCAATCAATTCGATTTGGGCAACTTTTTCTCTGTCTATAAAACCTACTCTCCATAATATCCCGGTCTTTTCGTCAATTTTGAATGCATCATTTCCTCCTGACAGTAAGCTGTAAGTCACCTCACTATTCGCGCCCTCGTCCTCATCATCTGCTCTGATACGACCAACTTCAACCTTAGACTGGTCATCAAATATATCTTTAATAGAATTTATCAATATTGATGGTGTTTCAAATACACTGAATCGGTAGTTATGATGAGTGAACTTCGGCACATTATCATTTATATCTAGTATTTTAATTGCAACTATTGTGCTTCCAGTTAAACGGTTTGGTTGGACTAGCTTCCCAGTATTTTGATATGTTCCCGATGCATAATTAACTTGCACTTGATCAACACAGACCACCTTAACAAAGACCCAGGGTTCAACTTCTCGATCTATAGGTTTTAATGATAACATCTTATAAAACAATAGTGGTGAACTATAATCGGTAAACGTCATTCCATAACCTTCTGGACGGTCAATATAGTTTAAATTGGACACCTTATCTAGTGCAAACCGTGTATCGTTTGTTTCACAATGCACCTCTAGAGAGTTTAATAGTGAACCAGTGTTACCTTGTAAAATATCACCATCCTCTACCGTAAGGTGTGCGACTGTCAACTGTTCGTTTTGATTTTCTAATAGGCTTCCTACAATTTTTGTTTGAGCACTGTGAAATTCGAGTCCTGCTTGGAATGGTTGTGTATACTGTACAGATATCAAAGGTTCGTTGTCATTAACATTCTCTACTAAAATGAATAAATCAATACTTCCTGTCAGTGATGGAGATCCAGAGTCTACAGCTTCTATAACCAACTTTACTAAGCGACCGCTGTGTTCTCGATTCAGGTCTGACCAAGTTGTTCCATGACGATCATCTGCGTCCATTTTCTTTGCAACTTTTAAGACTGCAGTCCCATTGTTGTTTTCCAATTTGAACCACTGCAATGAAGCTGCATTTTGGTCACCAATTGTTGGTTCTTTAAGACGGTAGGTAATCTGACCATTCAAACCACGATCTTCATCATCAGCCACTAAGGTGACTAGTGAACTCCCAGGTGCCTGAGTCTCTGAGATTTTTAAAAATTCCTGAGATATGGCATGACCATACAAGTCAGATGGTGATGTAAATGTTGGAAAATGGTAGATTGGTTTTCTGAATTTTGGAATGTTGTCATTAATGTCCGTAACCACTAAGTGAATAGTCTGTGTACCAGTTCGCTGAGGATTCCCGCCATCCAGAGCCAATAAGTGGAACCAGTATTCATCTTGCTTCTCCCTATCTAGCAAGCCTAGTATACGTAAAGATGGAACAGGAGGATTGGTACCACCTTTGTTTTCACTGTCAGTACTCACAATTAGATTGAATAGTGATTTATCTATTTCGTGCCCTGAAACAGTTGTGAGCCGGTAAGTTTTAATTCCATTCTCCGGTAAGTCAATGTCATGTGCTTTAGGTAATTCAAGTGTGGCTGGATTTATTGCATTTGGTTTGCTATTGGAATGTAGCATATGGGGAGAACTTAAAGCGTTGCCACTTGTCATATCGAAATTTTCTATATTCTCTGGTATTCTGAGCTCAATTGGGTCCTTTTTAGTAAATGTGGGGCTGTTATCATTTCTGTCCAAAACACGCAGCGTCAACTTCCCATAAGATGGCTCATGACGTTTACCATGTAAAATAATTAAGGGGATATCACAGAATGGCATTTGAGAGTCAGTCTGAGATTCTCTTGTTCCACAAAGCTCATCACGATCTGGACCGTTGTGTCCATCCTTAACAACCAGCTGCACAGAACCATCAAATCTATGCTGACGTATTTCCAAGTTATTTATTCCAGGACTTGATGGATTTCCGATCGCAATGTAATGCGTTTTAGGTTCCATACTTCCAAATGATGGGAATCTATGCTCCAGGTTGTCTATTATAACCGTCCCAGCTCTGGCATCTTCCATAACATCAATTACAACAGAATTTCCAGCTGCTTTCATTAAAGTTACATAGAAAGTGCATAGTAAAAATATCAAGAACATGGAGTCGAGTTAAACCTGTAAGAAGTAAAAGAAGCAACAAAGATAAATAGACGTGTTCTAAGTATATAAGATTCAAATATTTAGCTCAAGGCATACAAATCGTATAACAAGTTGTAACTAGCTAATTGAGAAGACATCGAATTAGGTTGTCAAAAGTTAGTTGTTACTAGCTGGTGATAAAAATCAAGAACCCGTTTACTCAACATTATATAAATACATGGTAAAAGTGAACTTTGGCAATCCTGAAATTGGGTTTTTATGCTTCTTAGCATTTATTTTCACAGAGATGGTGTATTCAAGAATTCAGCCATGACGTAAAATATTTACAGGCTAATTTCACACAAGAAAAAATTCAAAGGTTAAAGTTACGGAGCTCTCTGTTTGACAGCCAACTGTGCAGAACTGAGAAACCTTTAAATAACGTACAGACAGCACCAGCGACGTAGTCCTGATTTCTAGTCCAATGTGATCGTTAATTTTTAATGAAATGATGGAAACACATTACGCGGAACCAAGTTTTGGAAATGATTGATCACAGTCACACAACGTAGTGACATTATCCCATAAAACATTCTTAAAGAACTTGATTCCGATAATTCAACACTTATTTAAGGTCAAAGCTTTAAGCTTTGCATAATCGTAAGTGTCGGTTACTACCATTTCACAGACGACTTTGTCACTCTAAAGAGTGATGCCTACTTGCCAGAATTCTTTCGGAATTATCGTCATTTAGCTTCATCACTATTCAACTAAGAGGTCCCAAGTATTTATTTAAGCACTTGAAAGTAAGATGTTTTATTAATTCTTGGGAGTAATCTTATCATCCTCAACCATTACATGCATTCATTCAGACGAATTCGCGCTACTGGGACAAAAACCAACCATTTGAGGATAGAGTCAAAGGAAAACAAGAGACTGAAAAATCAGCTGCTTGAAAATATCTGCTATCGCTTAGGAATAATACTCATAATAATACTGCTAAGAATCAAGACACCATCTTTGTCAAAAAACACTAATGTGGTAAAACTATCGAAATTTATTTCAGGAAGTTGACACATCCTATGAATAATTCAGTAGAACAAGATGCTACCAATCAATGCCTTCAACAATTTTTTCTTACATCTTAATTAAGAAAGCACTACTTGTATACGTTTTTAGTTTTTCTGCAGGTAGCGAAAGAAAAGAAACATTGAGAACATTGTAAATCAAAACAAAAACGGCTGGAAGTATACTGTTTCCGGGATTTTTGTAATGGTTTATCCCAAATGTAAACTATTACAATTATTGTACACAGTTATGTTATAGTTTTTACTGGTCGTATACTATAAACTAATAAGATTTGAGGACTTTAAAATGTCTAGAATTCAATCACCCCATTTTTCACTGAATTGTTAGAACAGGAAAACAAATGGCATACTATTGTCGTTTGTGAACTATGCTTGTTTTGAAGACTTTCAACTATAGTGGAATTCATAGATGATGACTCAGTTTGTGAAAGAATACAAGCAGCCATAGGATTGGAGCAGAAATTCAGGAATTACAGGCCAAAAGACTTGAACCTATAACACTATCAGCAGTCTTTGAGAAAACTAGGGTTAACCTGAACGATGATATATTTAATACTGAACTAGGTACATTTGAGTAAAGTGGTCTGATTCCCTTGGGTGAGAGGGGTACCCAAGTATTCCTTATATTTTGATTGTTAACCCCGTAATATTTTCTTTTTATGAATATTTCAATGAAATATATATAGCGTTCATGTGTAGTGTATTCGATAATTTTAGCTGTCATCAGGATAAAGAAGTGAAGCATTGCTTATCTCTGACTAGTTAAAACTGCAATCATCATTATTTGAATGTTATTATGCCTGAAGCGCAACAAGTGTTCAGTAAGATAATGTTTAAAGCCTAGGTTTTAGTTGGTATTGTGTAACCTTCCTTTCAAACGCAAAAGAATTATGCCAGAGTTTGTGGTGGATTATTTCAACTTATGAATTTTTATATTTTAAAATTGAACGTTATTATTTCATTTAATACATATTAAATGGATCGTGTGTATGATCATTCATGACAAAACAAGTTAACAGTGAAAACCAGCTGCGGTCACAGAGCTTTTGCACTTTTGGCTTATGGTAAAAAGTGTGAGTTGATCACACAAAGAGCGACTAATGACTATTATTAGACATGTCGCGAAACTTGAGACTGACTAGAATAAAAGTTTGACAAATAAAGTGATCCCATGGAAGGTGTCTGAATATTTTGAATGAGATATTTTCAGGTTATCTTTTTATTATGACTTGTTGTTTCTCATTGTTAGTTGTGTCAGAATATATTAAAGTGTTCTTTAAAACAAATATCTCCTCTTTCTACTCTCTACTTTAAAAGCCTACGAAATCTTTCATAAGTTATCATATGAATTAGGCTTTTTTGGAACTACACATGTATGAAACAACTCGAACGAACTCGAAAAGTGTAACCGATGCAAGCTACCCACAAAACATCACATTTCGGGACAGAAATCACAATAAACTCTATATAAGACCGTCAGAGTTTTCGGTTAAAAAATACATCATTACAGACTGTGAACATTCACCTTAGAATTGCAGCTTATGAAGACTCACTCCATATACAGACAATGAAATGATTGGTGAATTATATATTTGTTCGTTTAGAAGTCTAAGTCTTGTATGCGGCGCTAATGTTCAACAAAATTCAGTTCCTATGTGGTAAAGTTGAAGTACTGTAGATACAAAGGTATCATGACTAATTCCACCTAAGGCGTAAAATCTTCTATTCAAGTGGTATCAGCCTACGTTGTAAACGTCAGATGTCTGTTTTTGATTCGTACTGGAATTTGTGGTAAACACCAAGTGTAACACGTCATCGTGGTCTCAATAGAAAAGATTTTTATTCACTTCATTATACTCTGAATATCAAATTGTTTCTAAATATCCTTATCTGAGTTCTTCGGAAACGGTTGGTAAGCGAAATCAAAACATAAAATGAGGTTTGATCACATGGTGCTTTACATAAAAAATCGTGCCTTTTCACCAAAAAGTGTTTTAAAGAGAATTTCGATAACACTGTTTTATACTTTATAACCATAACTTTTTTCTATGTCTTGCTGCAAATATTCTTTTTTATGTACTTAGGATAAAATGACATCATGAAACACCTACAGATTTGTTAGAAAAACAATAATCTCATGTTTTCACATTATTCTAAAATTCCATTCAATATTTCCTGACCGCTTGTTTCTCTCGTATATTGTCATTGTATTCAAGTGAACTGCTGAATTCATAATCTACTGCTTTTCCAAAACAATTTACTTGTATCTGCATACTTACAAGTAGTTAGTTACGTTTAACAGCTGGTGAGTTAGGCCTACTTTTAGGCAATTATAAAACTTATGGCACCATGTTAAAATATATACATTGGCAAAAACGATATACAAGGAATGACTAAAGACTATTATTGACGTCATCGACAGTCTAGTTGTCATAGGAATTGTTTTATCATTAACGTATTTCTCTTACAGAGCAAATGCCTTTTATTTTTGGAAACGTAATCCCGAAGAGCAGAAACAGTGAATCAATAAGAAAGAAACAGGTTAAGGAGAAAAGAACTTGGTAAGAGTACGGGTACTTAGAGAATACACTACATATTGATAATGTAATTAACAATGTTATCGGAAGCCACCACAGATAGTGTTTTTCATTTTGCATATATATGAAGGGGAAAAGATAGATGAAAACTGCACCTACATACACAGGTAATTGTAAACAATCTAATCTAAACGCGTAGGCCTACACTATCGATTGTTGTATAAAATATTACTTTGTTAAGAAATGTTTTCTTATTTATGAGTCATACTATAAAGAACAAAGAGAATAACAATATGTTATTATCACGAAACATGGGTCATGAAAGAAAAGCAGAAAAGAAAACGGAGAATGACTTTTTTAGTAAACATCGTAATTATCATTAACATAATTAGTCTTGTTATCATAGTACTGATATCAGTGATACTATAGATCTAGTAATGGTGTATCGATGTGAGAATAACATGCTCTATGGATTTGTGAATGACAAATTTGGGGAGAGGTAATCCTAATGACAGAAATGTCATTACTTATAACGTCAGAGAAATAGACAGATATAGGTAAATTTTCATCCTTAGTGCATTATATATTTGTAGCTATTAATTGTGTCTGTATGCCTAAATGATTTCATGGGATTATCATATTGCATGAGAAGCGTAGATTAATTCTTTTATATTAGCCAATGTTTGTTTTTCTTGTTATGTATTTATAATGACTATTAGGCGTTAATAACACTGAGTAATAATAATTTATATGTTTTTCTCTATTTGCTTGACTGAAATAGTCAATACGAGCCTCATGTTAATTTTATCCACTAATGCACTCATGAAGTTTCAATTATTGCCTTTTTACACCTGAGTTAATTGCATTTGTTTGATGAAATTATGAATTATTTAATACCAACAACACTGACCTGTATGAATTAGTTTTCTTTCCTTGTTGCTTATTCTACTACGTAAAATGTTGGACAGATTATGACATAAATACTATTTGTCATTTTTAACAGTAAAAGGATGCGAAATCAATAAATCCAGGAACATATAGTTTGAATACAGACTGTAGTTAGGTTTCTTAAAGACTAGATGACTGATTTACTTTACTGATATCAGTACCTGTAAGGAAAACTTTTTATTTGTCATTCCCCAAAACGCTATGGATTGCTGTTCTGCAGATATGTGTTTTATACGTTTTTGGAGGGTGACTTATTTTTATGTAGAAATTTAAATTATTATAGATACCGCTGGTCACAGAATTAGTGTTAAGAGGCTCTAAGAAGCATAACTTGATCACCTTTGATTTCACAGCATTTGAGGATATTATCCTCAGAAAATCAGTTGAATTCGTAGATTTAAAGTACTATACAATGCTGTAAACGGTTCTTAATTGCATTCGATGATCTGAAGTTATCGTATAT